TGAAAACGATCAAACCCCAAAAGGAGCTCGGAATAAATTCATTCATTTCTTTTCTACTCATTCATTTCTTGTCCCTGTTGGGAGATGGAAGGATCAAGCGTGTGTGGGAGGGAGGGCGTTTAATGAGCCAGAGAAAGAAAAAGAGGAAAAACACATTGTCTCTCCAGTTCCCTCTCTCTTCCTCCTTCCCTCTGGCTCTGCCCCACTCCTCCCCCGGAGCCGGCGGCGAAGGGTTAAGCGGGTTGGCGTGCCCTACGGCTGTCAGAGATGATCACACTTTGCAGATGCTCCCTTGATGGGAGTCTGGCTCGTGGGGGAGACGAGGAGGCCGGCCGGCCCACTCCCAGCCATGCCTTCTGTTAGATAGGATGGACCTGTGAAGAGGGCTGGAAATGGGTATGCATGTGGAAAGGGGAGGGCCTTAGGTGTGCCAAGACTGAAGCCGCCCCTCCCCAACTGTCCATCTCATTCTGTTTGGAGGGACCGGATCTCTGGGCAACCTTGCTTTCCTTTTGCCAGTGGTCTGTCCTGGGTCCCTCCTGGCTGAAAGATGTTGACAAGTGAGTAGGGTGGTCCTCCAAGACTTGGCCAGGGAGAAGAGCAAACCGCGTGAAATTGGGACACCCCTCTACGCACCCTGGTGGTCTGGCTGCCATCCAACTTCCAGAGCTGTCCTCCTTGGCAGAGCTCTTGAGCTTTAAACTGGTCTGGGACTGGACGGTCTTTCAAGCAGGGCAGCCCAGCCTCTTGGGGACCTGGAAAGCTCCCTTGTCAATAGCCCCGCTGGCTGAGGTCGAGGAGAATCGAAGTGGCCAGCAGCTGTTAGGTTGCCACGTCTGGAGAGACACTTGCTTGGCGTCAGAGAGTAGTGGACCTGGATGGGCCTTAAGGGATGGAAGGCTCCTTGGGCTCGGCCCGCTGGCCAGTTCCACCAGTGCTGGCCCTTCGCCGAGATCCTGGACAGCAAGAATGATTCAGCCAATGCCTACTAACGGTCTTCCTTGCAGCCTGAGCAAGGAGACGGAAAGACAAATTGTCTGATCTCACCTGAAGCAGGAGCTCAGGTGTGGGTGCAGGCATCACCTGCCTTTTAATTATCTGCAGGTGGATTATTCTGCAGACATCTCTGCGTGTTTATCTGTGACTTTCTGTCTGTCCGTTTGCTTCATTTCTCCATAAACAGATCTTTGCTTTGTTCAAAAGGACACTGAAAACTGCCTTTTTTCTCCCTGTTATTTCTAAACAAGTCAAAGGGTTACCATCTCAGTGGAAACTGAACCTAGATCAATATGGAACAGCGGCAGAGAGTTTTGCCACCAGTTTTTTCCTTCCTTCCTTCCTTCCTTCCTTCCTTCCTTCCTTCCTTCCTTCCTTCCTTCCTTCCTAGATGGTTCCTGGGAGGTTAGATTTATCTTATCTCTTAAGTGTGTCTCTAACATCAGTTGGCCTCCAGCTTCTGGCCTCTTCTCTCATTTGTAAACCCTCACCCAATCTTCATCTTCCCCAGAGTCAGACGCTCAACCCAGTTTCATAAGAAAGGTGCCCATATGGGATTTTATCCTCTAAACTCTCTGGGCGAATGTTTATTTTTGCAGGGAGTCATGCAATCCCTACTTAGTTTCTAATTTTGTAAAACGTAAAACAGAAGAGAGAGCGGGTGGATACTCTCAACAGCTGTCCTATCCTAATTGCCCCTTAACTTACACCTAGCTCTGTGTCATGTTTTGTAATCAAATAATTGACATTTAAGCCAGTTGCTTCATAAGAGAAAAAAGTGGGTGGTTGCTTAAATAAACCAGTATATGCCGTCCAATTTTTAAGCAGTCTTCCAGTCAGGACTGTTGGTGATAAAATGCTTCTTCGGGTATAGAAGGAGGGCTAAATTCTCCAATTTATAGCAGGTTTCTTTTGTTTCCTGTCTGTACTGAGAGGCGGCAGTGTCACCCTTTCCCCACCTTCTAAGATGTTCAGCACAGCTTGGGTCTCCCAGTTCTGCTGCTTGGAAAACCTGGGGGGCCCCTTAAAGATCATTAAGTCCAACCATGGCTGGATGCAGGAGATCCAGAGTGAGAACGTGCCCCAACATCTGCCTCTCCTGCCTTTATTCATATATTTATTATGTAATTTCCCAACTTCTTTGCAATCAGCATGACGCTTCTCTTCCCCCTCCCCTATTTTCTGCACACACCATCTCTGTGAGGTAGGTTAAGCCGCGAGAAAGCAACTGGTTTATGGTTGCCATGGAGAGGATGCTGCGCAGAGAGTGATCTGGCATTTCTGAAAGTGGAGGAATAACCCTTAATACCACCAGCTGCAGACTTGGAAAGCTGCATCTGCTTTTTCCATGAAAAAGGGATGCTTTTTCTCTCTCTGTGTGTGTGTGTGTGTGTGTGTGCGCGCGCGTGTATTTTGGCCACCAATACTTTTGGCTTTGCTCCCTTTTTAAAAAGTTTCATACACTTCTTGGCTGCTTACAAAGGCTACACTTGGAAAATCTAGTGCCAGTTGGATCCTGTTTCCCGCCTCCGTCATGAATGGCCCTGCCTTTCAGTTCTGCGGAACTTAGCTTGGGCTGAAACCCATGTTAGTCTGGAGGGAACTGGGAAAATGGTCCATTTCGAATTGTGATCATCTCCCAGGGAAAGGAGAAGGTGTTCTGGGGTCCTTTGGGAGATGCGAACTGAAGGGTCAGAAGCATTTCCCCAGTGTGGTGCCTTCAGGCCAGGACACTTCCAGAACTCTTGGAGCATGGACAGGGGTGGGGAACAACCCTCAAAGTTTGTAGAAGTCTCTAAAAAGAGGGATGAGGATCACAGAACAGCTGACTGGAGCTTCTGTGTTTTGAATTGGGTGCAGAATGATTTTTTGTTTTGGGGGGAAGAGAACAGAAAAGTGGTGGTGGAAGAAAAGGGATCAAATAGAACTTCCTTTAAAAAGGTCCAACGGGTTGGTTGAAACCCTCCACCACACCATTTCATGCTGTAACACGACATTGCGGCTGTCACTTCTCTGTTTTTCTTTAGCAGGTGGCTTATGTCTCCTGATTCTGTTTGGAAAGGAAATAAGGAATTAAAAGTATGCTTCTCCTTTCTTTTTTTCCTTTTAGGGGATTCCCTCTTCTCTGGACGGTTTTCTGTTTGACTTGCTTCCTTGGATTCACACATGGAAATCCTGAAGGTAATTTTTCACCTCTTTGTGTCTCCACCCCCACGTCTTCTGGGGAAGGGTGACCTGTTGGCCTCAGTGCTGCCAAATCCAGAACAAAATGACAATTAAAAAGATAAAACTAATATAAACTAAAAAAAAAAAGAATAAAAAGAAAAAGAAAAGAAATATATAAAGAAATGACTTTCCCTTTCATCACAACAAGTATAAACAATTTTAGTAACTTATCACCTTCTCTTACAAAACAACAAATGACCTCTTCTTCCCATAGCCCATCTCTATCTATAAACAAATCTTTAAAGCCATGTTGTTCAATCCTGCTCACCAAAAGTTCATCCAGAACAGGAGAGCTGAGAGAAAAGTTGGAGGAAGGATTGCAGTTAATCAGTCATTATAGGTGTAAAGTAGAGACAATATTGGTTCAAAGGTTGGGATGGAGAGACCCAAACTGATGTTCATTCTCAACCATCGGAACTCACTTGGTGACTTTCTCTTATTGTGGAATAACATGGAGAGGGATTCCCATGGAAGCGACCTTTTGCTCCTGGAAAAAAAGATAGGACAGGAATCTAATCAGTAGAAAAGGAAGGGTGGGCCAAACATTCAGAGAGGCATTAAATGAGGCCTTTCCTCAAATCATGCATTAATTCTGTCCTTAGAAGGTTCAGCATGGTGGCTTTGAAGGTTCCCCCAGATGGTCTGCATCTTGTGCACTCACAACCCTTTTCTTGGGAGGTCCAGTGAAGGACTTGTTTAGACAAGTTCAGGAACATCCTTTGCAAAGTCCTTTGGCACTTCTGAAGTAGCATGCCCTCAACCAACTCTGGTTAGCAGACTGACTGGAGGGCTCAGAGATGGAATAGCTGCAGGACTCTTTAGAGTATTAATGGCACCTTCAGCAATAGAACCAGCATATGGTTTTTGGAGAAGCAAACACAGCCGGACAATCCTGGCCTCTCTAGGTCAGAACTGGCAGCCCTGTTTCTTTTCTCGGCCTCAGGCAAGAGTTTTCCAGCTGTGTCTGCAGAAGTTGTTAGGAATTCAACCAAAGATCTCTCCCTGCAAACAGATTCTTTCATGGAGCTATGACCCATGAAGGTAGAGGACATTGTTTGTAGATTTAGATCAAGCCATTATTAACATTTCTGCACATAGGGAGAATCTATCTATGTCCTCTTTTGGGATCACTCATCATAGGCCTTCATCTGCTATTGTTTCCAAGAAAGTGGGATTCATATAGTCCCATCTGAGGTGCCAAGATACAACCCTTGGTATCCAATCTTACAAAGGTTCCAACAGATAACCTTGGAAGCCCTATGGCTGCAGCAAACCCCCTTTTCTTTCTACTTTGCCAGCCTTTCTGCTCAACTGCCTATACGTTTAGGCTTGCGTGAAGTGCACCATGGCCTTCAGAAATGATGTCCTGATGGCATCTCAGATCTTAGCCATGATTGGATTGGGTGAAGAGCTATACTTGGGGTGTGGTAGTGATAAACAGGATTTGGAGATGGGGTAAGAGAAAAAATAGAGTGCTGCTTTGAAATCTTTGGATGACAAAAGAAGGTTGTGGTGAAGGTTGCTTGTCATCCATGAATTCACTTCGGATTCTTTGGATCAACACTAGACTCACAGTATCCCAGCCCTGATGGCTCTGCCTTGCCATAGTTCCAGCTTAATGACTGTATGGTTATTTCAGCTCTAAAGCAGGGATGAGGGATTTCCTTTCACTGCCACAATGCTCAATTGTTTCCTTGGCCAGTACTCACATTGTCTATGCGGGTTGGACAGCTCACGGGAAAAGAGCATGCCAACATCTTACATTGTTTCCATCACTTCTGGGTGCACTGATGCCTAGACCCCTCTGCTTGAATGATTTTCTCATCAGGATGGCTTTCAAATTCTGTCCATCTCTTTTCTAAGTCATGGCTCAGCCTACAAGGACAGACCCCAAAGGTGCCATTTTGGGAGAAGGCTGTGGGTCTCAATTCCCCTGACCATCAAGCCGTGCCAAGATTCTCCACTCAGCCAACAGCAATGTCCTAATGGGTTTTGTCTATCGGTGGCATTTCCCTTGAGGGTGGGTAGTGTGCCAAAGAAACATTTGGCTCTGCAGTCTTTCAAAGGTCATTCCGTGGGCCTGGTTGAAAACTCAGAGCAAAAACCTCCATACTGATGATGTGATCAGCTTTCATTGGCTGGTTTTTCCTCTGGAACAACTCATGAGAAGGATGAGAAGGGGAAGTTCTTGTTCTTCAAAGGCTTCGGATCCCTGGAAACAGTCAACTGGAGGGCAGCATTGGAGTCAAATGTGAATCTGGGTGGAGTCTGCAGCAGTTTGCAGGCTCCTGGAGTATAACTTAGCTTTTTATGCTAAGTTCTGAATTTCTGCATCCTTCGTATATTAACTTAAGGAGGCCCATGAGCAAGGGCTGGGTCCAAATCCACCTCTGTCCCAAGTCTTATTTTTATTATGTGTCAATCTTGACTTGCTTTCCAAACTCTTCAGGGCAGTAAACGTGGCCTCTCATTTTTCCCTTGGAAGAACCTTACGGAGTCAGGATGGGACATTATGAGTGGGCCAGGGTTGTGCACGAAGTGGGCCAAAGCTTTAATTAAAAAACCGCTACACTACCCTTGTCAAAAGATGCTTGAGCAATTCTTGAGCAACTCAACACTGAGAGGCTTTTGCCTCTGGATATATGGAATTTGCAGTAATTGGTTGTTTAGACTTATGGTGAATGAACTCTCGGAGAGGTCACTTTGGTGACAACTAAACCCTGAGACCTTCCCCTTGTAAGGATGATCAAAAAGGATCATTACGCTATGCCACAGCTGCTTGGTTGGAAAGCCATGTTGCTTAAACATCTGTTTATTGGCAACAGCATCCTCTCTCCTAAAATAGCAAACCCCCTTTCCCAAGGTTTGCTTTGGATGATTTCTGTTACCATCAGCAAGATGCAGGATATTTGAGACTCTCCAACCTGCTGGAGATGAAGCCTCTTTCTCTGGGCAGGTTGGAAGGGGTGGGGGAGACCCTTCCTTACATCATGAACTTGTGTGGTGAACTCATAGCACACTTGGAAGCCACAGCAGTCAGGTGGATGCCAGGCCTAGACAACTACTTTGATGTCCCACAATGCCCTGAAGTGCTGCTTCCCTGAAGCATTGTGGGAAAGAAAAACAGATGTTTCAGAACTACAGGTCCCAGTACAATGGGGCATAAAATGAGGCATGATGGGCTTTGTCAGTTGGTAACATATGGGCAGTTAACAGTTAGCCATCTCTGGGTTGCAGCATCTGGCAGAACTCAGGCTATTGATTGTCATTTTTAATCCAGGTTTTCCTCCAAGGAATTCAGCGTCATCCTCCTAACTCTGTTTGACAATGATTTGGTGAGATCAGTTGGGATGGGGAAGAGTCCTTGGCCAAACGAGTACCAAGGTTGGAGGAAAGATCTGAAGTGAATTCTTGCTGGTCCTAATTTGTGCTTTGGCTTCACATGTTCTGTGCTTTGTAACTCAGGTGTAGGGACTGACAAACCACTTTGCTCAATAAATCACAAATCAGCCTTGGCTTAGTGCAATATGCCAGGCTAGCCTGAAATGTGGTTACATTTGTAGTGTAATATGTAGTGCAAATGTAGTGCGATGTGTAATTATTTCAACCCTAGCTGGCTTTTTTCTATCAAGCATGGGTTGCTTAAGGAAGGAGAAGGCATTTGCAATTAAATCAATCTCCTTTGATTTAATAAAAATCTAAAACTAGCCTGTGGGGGTATTTCAGCGTGTAGGATCCCACTTTCAAACAATGAATGGGAAGAATGATGACCCAGAAGTGCGCTTCTGCGTGTGAATGAAAACAGGGAAGGTTTATTAAAGCTGACACTGCATTTAGTGGGCTTTGCAGGAGAGCATTAAGAGAGGAGGAAAAAGCAGAGAGATTAACAGAACTTGTACCATTAAATATGATGTTCTCTTCCTCCATTGCTGCTCCATTTACGACTTGCTCATATGAGAGGTGAACATCTGTTGGAATTGCTCAAGCAAACCATGTTCCAGCTGAGTTGCATGCTCACTTTGAGAAAAGGAAGGAAGGAAGGAAGGAAGGAAGGAAGGAAGGAAGGAAGGAAGGAAGGAAGGAAGGAAGGAATATTCCACTGGATAGAAGTACAATTTGCTAAAATCCTCAGTAATTTTTTTTCCCACACCCAGGGGAATGGTTCTATGCTTAAATATTTCTGGTGTGGCATATGCTCAGACTCTCCATGCTAAGTTGATATTAATTCTCCTTCTTCATGTCTCCTTTCTCTGCTCATGCAGCAGGTTTTATCAGGGAAAAATCTGAAACAGGAATGGGAACCATAATGCAGGAAAAAAAGAGATAACATGACATCATCAGATAGAAGTGGAGAGGGCTGAGGCCAATGAAAGGCTTCATTTCTAAAATCGGTCCGGCCCTGCAGCGAATAAAAGTTGATCTTCGAAAAGAGCAGGAGAAATTGAACATTAACAGTTCTGAGTTTCCCTCTCAACCAACACTGGCTGGGTGATCATCCAGAGTTGTGAAGCCACAATAGAGACAGCTCCCTTCCTGGTATAGCTGGGTCAAGCAAAGGTGGGCAAAGGGTCCTCCAGAAGGGTTGGACTACAACTCCCATATGCCACAGCCAGCGTTCAAGGACAGTGGGCGTTGCAGCCTAAACGCCTGGCAGGCTGAGCTTCTCTTTGAAATCGAACTCCTCTGAGATCGATGGCAGTTGACCTCTGATGTCAGCATCCTAAATGTTTATCAACCAGATGTTGAGATCAATGAACGTCAATCCCTTGAGATGGTGGCTGGGGGTGTTCTTGGCTGGCAGAATCCAAATGAACAGAAATGTGAAAAAAAATCAAGGCTGATTTCTATAAAGACCCTTGCAGAGCTTGGTGGGAAGAAGAATTCCCCCCCAAAAGAGAACCACGTGTGCAGGAGGAACTTCAAATGTTAAATAATTACCTGTTCTACCCCAGAGTTGCTGGGAGTCAGGCAGCATATAAATTTAATAAATTATTATTATTAATGGTTATTCTGTCCAACCTAGAAAGTAATAGAGCAAATCTTTCCACGCTCTTTTCTTTTGACCTTGGAACGTGTCTGTGATTTTCTCGGCACTGGGATGTTTGGAAGGAGAAGAACGTTTGTAATCTTTCTCTTTGCTAAGACTTCTCTAAGTCTTTGCTCCTTTTATTTTCTGAGCTGGAGAGATTGGGGTGGGAGAGTCCTGCTTGTTTAATTGCCTTTCTATTATTTGTAATATCATAACAGGCTTGCCAAAACGAGAGATCTCCTGTTGGCCTGAGGACATGAAAAACATCAGTTCTCTTATAGCTGGCTGTTCTTCTCATTCATTCTTGCTTCTTTTTTTCATCATGATGGGAGAAATACAGGAGACTGTATCAGAGGGCAGGAAGAAGAATGCTGCATGTCCTGAAATATTTGGAAGACTCCTTAAAAGTACCCCAATGTTAAATTTTAGATTCACTTCATCACAATCGTGCTCTGGCTAGGGCCAGCTCTATGAATAGGCAGAGATCAATGATGACTTTTGGCCATGATTTGGGGGTGCCACGTCAAAAGAATGGGTTGTTTGGAAAGACGGAAACAACGTTCTGCTTTAGTAACTAACAAATTAAGCCACTTCTTGCAAGGAATGATAACAGGAAAGGAAGCTTGACTTACTCTTAACTTTTTTTTTTTTTAATAATTGGACAACTGTTTATATAACTCATCTTTTCCTCCTTCTTCCAGATGTGGATGTCCTTCAGAGGCTGGGCCTGCTGGGGCCAAGGACCTCGGACTTGTCACACTCTGTTCCTCAGGGAGTTGTCCCCTTCAAGTTTGGAGTCATCCTCACCCAGCAGGCACGTGTCAAGGTGCCCCTCAGCTCAGTTATTCCCATGCCCATTGGCCCAGACATGACTATCGTGTTAAGCCTGTGCTCCCATCGTGTCAACAGCGCCTTTTTATTCACTATAAAGAGTAAAAGGAAGAAATTACAACTGGGTGTTCAGTTTCTTCCTAATAAGGTTGTCGTCTACGTAGGTCACAAGCGCTCTGTATATTTTGATTACAATGTTCATGACGGGCAATGGCATAATCTTGCTATTGATATCCGAAGCAAAACAGTCTCCTTGATTACCGCTTGCGGGAAAGAAAGGGTACATGCAGATTTGTATTATAAAAAAGATAAGACGTTGGATCCGGCCGGGTCTTTCCTCTTGGGAAAGCTCAATCAGCACTCAGTCCAGTTTGAAGGCGCCCTGTGCCAGTTTGATATTTATCTTTCCACCAAGGCAGCTCATGATTACTGTAAGTATCTGAAAAAACAATGCAGACAAGTGGATACCTTTCAGCCAAGCATCCTGCCCTTTTCTCCATTGCTGTCCAAAGATCCAAGAGCTTCTGAAATGACTCCAAAGCAGTTGGAACTTTCAGTGATGGGCTTGATGAACCTGACCACTATGCATTCTCCATCGACGCTCTTCAAGACCACCACTTCTCAGAGGGACAGGAGGTTGCAGGCAGCACCCACCACTGTTAGAACTCCTAAGGCACCATCTGCAACCCCAACCGTAAAGATGAGGACCGTCGTGACATTGTCTCCCTCTCGAACAGAAGCACAGCAACACACCAGTATTCTCCAGCAGACGGCCACAGTGGCACATCCGACTTCCAGAACAGCTCACCGGACTACCACCGCAGTTCTAGGTGGGTCTCACTCCACTTCCAGTGTGGAGAAACCTCTTTTATCATCCCGCCCGAACGTTCTTGCCTTCCCAAACTCAACTGTGAACTTTGGCATGATTCCTGATAAGCAAGAGATTCGGAAAGCATCCAGAAAGCCAATTAGCCAAGGACCAGCCATCAGGTCCTCTCAGTTACCAAGTACCACAAAGCCAATGATGAAGAACAGGGGCAACTCATCAGGTAGTCATTCTCCAGTCACCACAAAGCACAAGCTGGAAAAGGTCACCAGTGGCCCTGCACCAAAGGAGGTAATGAACCTGCCAGCAGTGAAGAAATCCAGTCCTACCATTGCTGCTGTCTTGTATACCAAACCAGTGCTTGGAGATGCTTATCCTGTTTATCAAACAGATGGACAAAACTCAAATTTAATCACTCTGGCTGCTACAGATGGCTATCAGGACTTTAACCCTATGGGGCCCACCCTATTCCCATTTGTTATGGGTCTTCCAGGATGGAAAGGAGATCCAGGTCCTCCGGTAAGTAAATTTTCTTTCAATTATTGTTTGTCCAAGTGTGTAGTTGGCTGTGAATTATGGGGTTTTGTAGTCTCAACCCAACTGAATGGCACCAGGATGAGGAAGGCTGATCTAAGCCATCTGGTAATGTGGGTGACAACCTTTCGAGATGTCATGCAAACCATTTTATCTTCTTATAACTCTTCCCTGTTGTTCTCTTTTAGCCCCTACTCCTCCCTCTGGAAAGCCAAATACTAGCCTTCTGAAAAACCTAGATAGCTTGGGGGATTCCTCCAACCCAAAGTAAAATAACTGAGTCAGTTCTGAGACTAGCTCCATTGCTTTGTGAAGGTTGGTTTGGCTCCTGATGCAAGCTGGAACTGCAGGGAAATGCCTGAATCTGAAGGACTAGGACATGACCCTTTCTGTATGAGTCATGAACGGGGCTTTGGACATGGATGATGCTGATTTCTCCACAGTCTGTGGAACATCTCCACAGCCGAGTGTGGGCTAGCCAGCCTTCCCATAGTTTTGACCTCCAGGGTATGAAGGGAGCTCAGTGGGGAAGAAAAGATTAGTGCTCCACTGGAGTCAGCTTCTTTGACCTCTGGGATGACTAATCAGGAAGAATCTCTTTTTCTCTCTGTAGCACTTTGTTGGAAGGAGAGCGGGATGACTTCTTGAGAAACTTAACTGCCTAACATTTATTCAGCCAGACAAGTGTGTTTTCAGAGTGGAAATGCTGATAATGAATTGTTCGCTGGCTGACTAAGAGCTCTGGAATTGCCTCCATGCTCTGCGGCAGGCATTTCGGAAGAATGTGTCTTTCTCAATCTTGCATGTTCTATTTCAGCTTGCCCATCTTGCTTTGATCAAGGTGGATATGGCCCGTTCTCTGTGGTGCTGGTTCATTTTGAAAGCAAGAGTTAGCAGAGCAAGGAAGGAGACCTTTTGGGAAGGAAAAAAAAACGTGAATGAAATCAAAAGTGACTTCGCTGTTCAGCCTTTGACCCTCCAGATGTTGCTGACAGTCCCAGTATACTTCCTCTTTGGCTGCTGCATATTGTAGTTTAGCAACTTCTGGAAGACTGCAGTGGTTTAGAAAATGCAGTCAAATTATGCCCCCACCTAAAAGTAATCACAAATTCCTTCTTCAACCCCACCTCCTGAATAAATAAGTTGGATCAGAAGGTAATAAATCTAGGAGAAATTCTCTGTTATCTTCTCTTAAACATCTAGAGGAACTTTGAACATTTTCCTAGGTACTTCAAACCAGACTCTGGCTTACATATCATGCTAAGTCATAATATGGTTTATTTGGTTAGTATGTATTGTCTGTGCCCATCCACTGAGGGTTATAAATCACAACTGGTGGCTTTGCAAGGGACATGAACCCAGGCAACGATGGCTTGTTCCACAAAGCATAGTGAAGTAAACTTGACTGAATTAAATAATGCATTGAATCAAGCTCAAACAACTGAATGCTTGGCAGGAACCCTTCAGCCTCTTTGTGGGAGGGGGGCACTTGCTTTGGGTACCTAGTTTCTCTGGGAAGATGTTCTCAAGTGGATTGTCCAGATCTTTGAAGGTAAGCAAAAAAGTGCTGTTCCTCATTGCCAAAAGAAGGATGTTCTATATCCCTACTTCAAATGACAGTTGTCCGTATGGCAAGAAGAGATTTAACTGAAGAAGAAATGACTCTTGAGTTGTAGGCTTCCAACCCAAGAATCTAATAGCGGTTCTAATTCATTCTGTCAATCCGTTCAGTTTCTTGGCACCCATCCCACCCTTGCTTTGCTCCCGTGCCTTCCCCCTTCCCCTCTTGGCCTCATTCATCCATCACCAGCCCTGGGCCCCTTCTGTCTCTCACCCCATTTGTGTTTCTTCTCTACCAAGCCAGCCTCTCATTTCTTTCATTCAGCTGATGCAACCATGATCAACATTCTAGCTCTGATGCACTTTCTCCTCCTCCTCAGTTTGAACACTTAGGAAAATTCTGTGTCCACCACTGGCAACTCAGCCAATAGATGTGTTCAGGTGGCCAAAAGAAAAATTAGCCATGGGCACACGTTTCTGTCTGCTCAACCCCTTCTTTTCACATGTCTGGGGTTCTCTTTCTCCCTGTTTCCCTACACCAGAATTTCCTCCTCGTGACCTTCAAGCATGCAGGTACCAAGAAAGATGCAGACTCCCTTGTCTGGATTAACGTCTCCTTGCAGGGCATCCCAATGTGCAATGGTGATGTGTAGTGCTAGACTGCCAAGCTCAGCCATGCCAGAACTGGTAGGTCATGCCATAAATCCAGCGGATGGGAATTTTTTCCTGCCACATCTCGAACTGTGGAGTGATGTGTAGGGTTGTGCTCTGGAATGAGGAGACCCTCTTGTGCCAATCTTGTTCTGCTTGTGACTTTACTCTTTTTAGCCAATTTCCCGACACAGCTGAGCTCAAGTGGATTATCTAGAACGGTCCAGTGTAATTTACATGAGACAATATAGCTTTGTTCTGCATGTTGCCTTCAGTGGTAGGGCTTCCCCATATTCTGTTGCTTATCAGTTGAGTATTAAAAGGATAGGATCTGCTGTCTCCTCTTTCTTCTTCTTCTTCTTCTTCTTCTTCTTCTTCTTCTTCTTCTTCTTCTTCTTTTTCTTCTTTTTCTTCTTCTTCTTCTTCTTCTTTTTCTTCTTTTTCTTCTTCTTCTTCTTCTTCTTTTTCTTCTTTTTCTTCTTCTTCTTCTTCTTCTTTTTCTTCTTTTTCTTCTTCTTCTTCTTCTTCTTTTTCTTCTTTTTCTTCTTCTTCTTCTTCTTCTTTTTCTTCTTTTTCTTCTTCTTCTTCTTCTTCTTTTTCTTCTTTTTCTTCTTCTTCTTCTTCTTCTTTTTCTTCTTTTTCTTCTTCTTCTTCTTCTTCTCCTCCTCCTCCTCCTCCTCCTCCTCCATCCATTGCAGCTTTAATTTTTTCTAAGCCACCTTACTGAAGGACAGGAATTTGTAAACAAAATAAATACAACATCTGTTGCAGCTTTGCTCCTTGCCTCACGTTCAGGCTTCTGGTACAGCCAGATGAGTTCATAGCATTAGTATCGGTTGAATGATCTTGAAGGACTTTATCATTCTCATCACTAAGTCAACACATTTGGATTCCATGACATATCTTTTGTAACAGCTTCCATATTGAGGTGGTTGTTTTAGTATTCTGTTCCGTTGGACTAACTCTATGGGCAACTGGCAGCCGCATAACCGCATTAGCTGTGGAGCTGGGCTTCGATAGCACAGCAGGTTTGAACTGGTGGGTGGATAGTGAGGTAGCCTTGGTTAAAACCTTAGGGTTTCTGTGCCTTCCCCATGGGGTAGTGCCAGATCTGTCAGACGGTGCATTGAATCACCTCCTCCCAGCTACAAGGATTGGACAAGAATTGGAGGAAATCACAGGAATTGGGGGGTGCGGATTGTAGTCCAAGCTGAGTGTCAGTTGGGGGAAAGCGGTGCAAAGAAATCTTTCTAATGTGTTTCGGCTTTGTATGTGAATGCAATTCTCTTTTTCCTCCTCCTCCTCCTCCTCCTCCTCCTCCTCCTTTTTGGCCTTTTCCTCAAATGAGACATTGGTAAGTCAAGCCTCTAAGAGTGCTGACTAACCCCTCTTACAATGCAGCCTTCCCACAGCTATTTCCAGTGCCCTGCAAGCGGGCTGTGCAGTGTGAGTTGTAAACCATTACCAAGCTGGGCTAAAATTGGAGATTTGCTGAGCAATGCAAGATCACATTGGCTCCTGGCAGCGTTTAGGTGAAATGGTTTCGTATCACTGGCATATAAGCAAGCCTTTCCATGAATATCAGATATCCAATTTTAACATTTTCCCCCCATATGATGGATGGGGGAACTTTGAGATGTAGGTTCTGTTCCCCCTGGAACAGCATTTCTTGCCAAACCTCTCTTCCTGTCTTTCCACTCTTGGGTCTGGAGTTTCAAAACAGACCTTACTTAGAGGGGGGCAAATGGGGGTGTCTTTAAGCCCTTAGATGCCATGCAGTTAGTAAAAATAGACAACATAGGACTTTATGACTATATGTGGCGATGAAGTGGCCTGTGGGCAAGGCACATAGCTCCCAAGCGAAACATTCCTACTATGTAAATTGAGAGTTTCTGGGAGTATGTGCAAGTTAGACCTGCTTAGTTTCAGAAACTGGAGGTGGGGTGGGAATCCACTGACAGTGTCCTCAAGGTCTGGAGAACTTTCTTTTGCATTTTCAACTTCCCACTCCTCCCCAGCCCCACCAGTATGGGTCTTTGAATTCCAGTGCATGTGTGTTGGGGGAAAGTGGAAGAATAGGACCAGTGTGTCAGATTACCTTGGGAAGACCCATGGTGCCCTGCCACTGTTGATGGGTGCTGCTGTTGGTCCAAGTCATTGAAAGGGGACACAGTTGACTCTGCCTGAAACTTTTCTCCAACTCCCTGAATTAATTATCCACTTAATGCTCCTTTGTCCAGCGTTGAAACCCAGGGGTGGCAGAGAGTCATTTTCATTGCCCCCAAAATAGAGTGTTGGACCCCTGAAGGAGAGCATTGGAGAGATGGACCGTATAGTCTGGACAAAGATTTTATTGCTGTGACAGTCAAGAGCTCCACCAAGCCATGGTTGGTGAACTAAAGAGGAAGGATGATGGCTTGAAAACAGGCCCTCGCTGCTTTCTTCCCAGCCAAATGTTTTTCACACGCATGTAAGGGTTAAACAAGAACAGGGGGCTGGAATTTGGAACCCGAATATGCAGGAAAATTGTACTCTGCTTCTTTGTCTCAAGCTGAATGCCTAGAGGGCCTTGTTTTGGAGGCTGGTCCACCAATGGCAGTTGATTCTATTCCTGCTCAAAAGTTGGAATGCAGAGTCATTGGCTGCAAAGGAAACATCTATGGTTCATCCTTGTTCCAAACCAGAGTACTGGCTTTAAATTCCTGCAATCCACATGAGGCATGTTTAAGCCTTGGCTGGTTGTCACCACAATGGTCAGCAGGATAAGTCATTCTTGATGCTTCCAGCAAACAGAAGAGCTGATTCTCTGACCCTATTGGAGTCCAAGTGGTTAGGAAATAGAACAGCTGGGATGATAGACAGATGAACCTTCTTTAGTGTGTGTATGGTGGATAGTGGAATTCAAATCCTCTTGGTATTTTTTTCCATTAGGCATTTTTCTTTTGTTTAGGATTACAACTTCTTACAGTAGGTAGAGGGAGGAAGTGTCCTTACAGATGTGGCTGAACTTCAACTCCCATCAGTCCTAGTGACGTAGCCTCCCAAGCCAATCAGGAGGCTTCAGTGACAACAAATGTCAGTCCGTATCAAGTCCTGGGCCGTTGGACAAAGGTCACCTGATCTCTCCAGATATCGATTTACACCGCTTTTCTTTACCCCCTAACTTGGGCATCACTCATTCTACTTGTGGATGATGGGATTTGTACTCTAGTATCCTGGAGATCAGTGTTGGGAAGGGCAAATGCAGAGGTGTTTGGGTTTCTAGCTGCTGTAGGAACGAGAATGGGAAATTCATCAGAAGTTGCTGAAAAGTTTTGAACCCACGACGAGGGAACTTTTCTTGCCTGAGCAAGACTATGACTGGCTTAGCTATGCCCACTTGTTAATGTTGGCCCCCCACACACCTGCTGCCTTGAAGATTGCAGCCACTTTTAGAAGTGAGGTCCACTTTTGGTAAAAGCTGCATGGTCTCTCTGGAGATGTCAGGGCCAGCTTCCAAGCATTCTTGAGTCTTCTGGTCTCCCTCACTCTGTCTCTTCTCTTACAAAGGAAAAATACCATCATTCACAATGAGCTACTTGATCATCAATCTTTCAAGAGACACCTTAGTTTATTCTCAGTGCTGAGGCTGCCAAAAGAGTAGAGGAGAAAATTCAAGAGTAATTAAGACTCCAGTAGTTTTTCAGGAGATTTGGACATTCTGATGCAGCTGGAAAGCCTAAATCTGAAGAATTTAACTGTTTGACCTCGGACATCCTTAAACCTTCAGATGTGTAAATTTTTAAGCTAGCCTTGAACTGCTCCCCAAACTGTGCAAATAAATAGCTGGGGAATCACGTCACTTGGAGATGGATTCTTCTCCAGCCATGCAAATCGTGAAAGGGTCAGCTCTGCTCTTCCACATTTTCCTGTCTGCTTGTTAAACCAGGGAGTGGAGACAGTTGAGTATCAGAACAACATATACAACCAGAGGTCCAGCTTGGGAAATGTTAGTGGAAGACAGTATGTCATAACTCCCATCTGGCTTTTCCACCAATGCAGAGAGTTGCATCTTGTGCTACTTTCCCACTGGATGTTCACTTGGGGCATAGGGACAGTGGTGCAGTGAAGACATTGTAGGAGGGGTAGTGGTGGTGCCATGCACTAATTTTAGGATCTGTGAGTCCTTCACAATATCACTTCCCTTCTGCCCCTTTGAATGTCCTGCCTCTCATTCTGCTGTGTTGGAGTGCCAAATTGGTGCCCCAAAGTCCGACTGTACGGCACCACTGTGTAGATAGAAGAAATGGACCCTTTGTTCTCATATTACTTGATGTAGAGTTCTGTTTTGTGACTAACTTGCCATTGACTGGGCCATGTTGGATACAGAACAGATGCTTGCATTGGTGAGATAAGGTTGGGAGTGCAGCTGTCAGAATTCGGGACTGTGGATATTGCAATTCCAAAACTGGGTGAAGGTGGATCAGACAAGGCTGATCTTAGAGCTGTAGTCCTGGGAAGCCATGTGCTCATGTCTGTTTTAACGCTAAGCAAATTGTATTTTCCTTCCTTCCTTCCTTCCTTCCTTCCTTCCTTCCTTCCTTCCTTCCTTCCTTCCTTCCTTCCTTCCTTCCTTCCTTCCTAGGGTCCCCCTGGTCTGCCTGGGATCCTGGGCCTTCCTGGCAAGCGAGGACCACGGGTAAGTCAAAGATACATGGGAAATGGAGAGGAGAAAGGGGAGGTGGAACAGGGACCATATCCTCAGGTCAAAAGGATGTCGAGCTTCCCATCTCTGCAGCACCCTGCACTTTTGGCTATGGAATGTTTTGCAGAGTCAGAAAGGCAGGCATGGAGGGGAAGGAAAGGACTGTGAACAGCTGGGTGTGTATATGAAAAAGGCTCTTTCTTGCTGGCATTTTCCAGCCATCCCAGAAGAGAATTCTGGGTTTGGTAGCCCAACACCTGGCCAAGGCGAGATTGGAAAAGGTAGCTGTTTATTTCGCTTGCCCTCAGAGGAGTTGCTCCTTCTCCAGCCAGCCCGAGGTCAAGGTGAGGTTCCTAAAGCAAAAAGGGAAAAGCTGCTTCTTGCCTTCCAGCTGCCTTGTCCAACCTCTCCAAATTCCTGTCCAAATCCAGCGGCAAAGGAGCAGCTGGCTGTTTCTTGATAAAGACTCCAGAAATAGAACAAGAATGGCAAATGGCACACAATTAGGATTTTTTTCCTGGGTGTTGGAGACATCAAATCCACAAACGGTTTAAAAAGGGTAGGTAAAAAATGAAGGACCTTTTTTGACACGAGGGAGGTAGACTTTGTTTGTCTGCTCCTGTCAGCTGGCTGTTGCATCTCTCTGGTGGCATTCCATCCAGATCGTGAGCTCCAGCACTTTTGGACAATTTCCCCTTTCCTCCTTTTCCTAGTGAACAAAACCCTGTGGGATTGTCCTCTTTCTCCTTTTTTTAAAGCAGCTGTTGCTTCTCTATCCACTTGGTGTCCAGTGGCATCTTGAGATAAAGCTTTCAGGGCACAAATTGTAACACCAGTTTTTAAATGGTGGTTTTCATCCACTGTGTTGTCGACCTGCTAAAGCCAGTGTTAGGTCAGGGACAGTCTTCCATCAGACCCTACCCCAGTCTTGCCCAGATGTGTGGACCGCTACTCCCATCATGAAATGGAGTTCCAACGTTGGAGGCCTCCCTCTTGGGCAGCACAAGTCAGCACTCACAGTCCTGCAGTTGGAAATTAAGGGGCAGCGCTCCCATGCCTAGGAAAATAGAAATTGCAGTGGCATAACCTATGCCCCTTTATGGAGAAGAAGAGTTTCTTCCATGCTTGGGAACTGCACTTCTTTTAACCTTAGATCACCTTCTGAAATCCACTGCCGCCACGTTGGCTGAGGACAGCAATTCCCATGCAACTGAGGTTGCAGAAGATAGGGCTGAGGTCACAAGCTTGCTGCAAGTTCAGCACATCGTCATCCAGATTTTGCCTTTTTTTTAGGGACCTCCTGGCCCCCATGGAAACCCTGGCCGCCCTGGACCACCTGGTGCAAAGGTAAGGAAGAAAACATCTGGGCGGAGTAAGTAGACCTGAGTATCTGCTACAGTATTGCTAACGAAGAGCAAATGCTCCGGTTCCAATTTTGAGGTGGGGTGTAAAATGGTTATTGCCCAGATAGTCTGCTCTGCTTCCATCTTGACATTAATAAGACATTTATGACGAGATCAATACAAGAGAAGAGCAATTTATCCATGGATGCTGCAGGTTCTCCATCTCTGGAAGTTCTTAAAAGGCTGGTCAGTTGCAATGTCGGTTCAGTCGGTTTTCCTGCACATTGCAGAGGGTTGGGCTAGATGACCAACTCCACTTTCAACTCCATGCTTCTAGGATTTGTTTAAGAACAGCTGAGCAGGCTGCTTCTGCCAACAAAGTAGAAGCAAATTTGGGACAGAGGACATGAAAGCAATATTTTATGTTCTAGCTGCTTTCCTTCCTTCCTGTTCCGTTCCCAGTCTTTTCTTCCTCCCCTCCCTTCTTCCTTTCCCTCTAACTGTGTGATTTCTTCAATGCTCTTGATTTTGGAAAAAGATTTCCACTAATCTGGCTTCCTGCCACTTGCCTGATTAAAAATTAGGCGCTAGAGAGATGTGTTGGCAGCTAAAAGCTGTGCTGCATTTAAAGGCACAGTTACGGAGTCTGAAGAAGAGAAGCCATTAAAAAACCCCAGCTCTCTAAACTCTTGCATTTGTATTTATGTCTTTGGCAAGGACTTCCAGATCATGCTTTCTCATGCAGTTTATTTTGTAAAGTATCATGTCAAAAATCAAAAGCTTTAAGCTTCACTCCTGGCTCTGCAAATGCCACCTGGCATTTCTCAAAAAAGGGGAGAGGTGTGTGACGTATGTGTTAACCCGCTGGTTTTGGTAACCAGTCTTAATGGAAAAAGACAGCTAACATGAAAAATAAGCTCCCCCCCCCCTTTTGGATCTAGGAGAAAGTGGGAGTGGGGGATATATTATCTTTGCCAGTTCTATTTCACCTGGGGCCAACAATTGGGGCATCAAAATGATTTAAATTTAAAGAGAGGCATTGGAGGGAAGGGAAAAGCAGGAAGAAGGAATTTATCATTTGATCTTGAAATACATACCTATTTATTCCTGAATTAGAGAGGTTAGGAACAGTACATGGTCCATTCAGGTTGGAGAGGCAGCCTTGAAGTCCACCCCACAAACCAGGCCTTATTAAACTGGGTTATCATCAGCCCATCCTTAGTTGGAGGTGATAGAAAACACATGGGTGCGATAGCTGCATGTGTGGGCATGCAGGCTGAAATCCTTCAGAAGTGCCAGGTTGCAGATGTCACTGTTGGGTGAACATCTGTCTATGAAATGGGTGCGTGTCTATTGCACATTTCACCCAGGTTGAACTTCCTAGTATGGTCACTGCATTGACTGTGGGTTGTATCTGGGTCTGCTTTGAATGCAGCACCCAGGAGACTGGTAGGACACTACTGTTGGGGAAGAGTTTTCTTTTGGGGGGGGATTCTTTTTATTGTGGTGGTTTAGATCTTTGCTAGGCGCCTGGCTCCCATGTCTGGTTGCATTTCCTAGCCCCACTTCCAAACTGCTCGGCTGTCATGGGTGTCTCTCTCTTGTCTCCATTGACTTTTCTCGCAGCTTTGCGTCCAGGGGGTTTCATGCAGCGCCTGAGTTTTAAATTGGAACATCTGCTGGAGTCTGAGATGGGCTTTCCTGCTGATGAGTTGTGGGGAAGAAAGCGCTTTGCTTCTGGATAGGCCTACCGAGCAGGGAAGGTCCACCTGGGGGACGCAAACCTCTCTGCTACTGGGAAAGCAGCAGCTGCAGGAACAAAATGTATGATTCTTCTGTAGATGCCACAAGTCAGTCCACCAGATCTTACTTGGCTCTTTGGCGACTGCGGAGTACGAGGTTTTAAACAAACCCTGGAATTAGTATGTTTCAGATTCCCTAGTTCCTTACTTTTGCAGAGGAAGACAATTCTCCCGGGAAACACCAGGGGGTTGGGAGAACGTCGTTTTTAGAAGCTTGGATGTTACTTTGAGGACACAAGTAGGAGCCCTCACAAGAGAAACTGGAATACGTTGCACGAAAATGAAGCAGTGTGATTTTGTAGCAAATAAGGATTGCTCAGCAGCATGGTTAGCTGAGATCCCAATGCAAGCAAATAAAAAGAAAATCTAACTTAGCCCAAAGTTCTTTGTTTGGTTTGAGGTGGAAATACTCTAGAAGGTTAAGTCACCCTTGTCTGCTAAAGGCGTGAAAGAATAAAGAACCAATTTCCATTCCATAAAGTGGGGACACCTGGGAAAAACCCCATCATGGTTGAAGTAATCATTCCCCAGTTTGGTGTGCTCCAAAGGGTTGGATTATCAATCTTGTTGCCCTGGACCACTGTTGAAGATGGTGGTCCGTTTCGGGACTTCAGAAAAACACCCCAAATTTCATCTTGGAAACTTAATTGGAAGCTGATGTGGCCAATTAGTTTTATAAGCAAAGTGCTTAGCTGCCCTTACAGAACAGATGTTGTTTCTTCACGTCCAGCCTTTGGTCCTGGGGAAAAATGACCTACCAAAGATGCTTTATAGCAACTAATGTGAGAAGAATCATCACACATGCTTTTTTAGGACTCCAGACTCAAGTGCTCTTTAAACTAGCTTCCCCAAAGGGAGAGGATCCCTGGAGATCCATACGGATCCGGATGGGTTTTGCAAATGTCTCCTTCCCAGGACCCCTCCCTCCCCATCTTTGAACATTTTCCTGCTGTTTCTGGATCCAGTCTAGCTAGTAATTTGGTGCCACTGAACAGAGCTCTGCCTTTGACAATAGTTGCAGACTGGAATTATCAGCCTGGCTTCATTTAGTGCTTGGCCCTGCTGGCCCCTCTTGATTCAGAAATCGGGCAGTTGTGTCTGCGCTGAATCCCCAGGGGTCTTGGCAGACGAAGTCTGCCAAGAATTTTCTCCAGCTAACTGATCTCCACTTGGCCTGGATTACTCTCCATGTGTGCATGTATGTGTGTGCGTGCATGTGTGACTGTATGAAGAGCAGTATGCACTGATAAGAATGGAAGAATATGTGGGAAAGGGAGGGAAATATGAACCAAGGGCAAACTAATATGGCATGCAGCTGGTTCTCTCTCCCACCACCCACTGCTGGAGGAACTGCCAACCTTGACTGATGCCCTCAAGAAGCGCCAGACCACGTTCGTGTGGAATGCGAGAACATCAGTTAATCTTGCGGTTGTAAACTAGGAAGTTAAAAAAACAACACCCAAAGAAATACCAAAAACACAAGAAGTCTGGTGGCTTATGAAAGTTATGCCTTTTAATAAACTTTGTTAGGCTGAAAAGGTGCTCCTCAACTCCTGTTGACTTGGGTTACTGTAGACTAATGCAATTTTCTCTAGTGACTGGAGAGGATCCAACAACTGTGTTACGATTTCTAAAGTGAGTAGCCTGTAGTGAATCATTGGTTTCTCACACTCAGGTGAGCCCCCAGATTAAATAGATCTCATATAGAATGGTGACCAAAGACATGTAGGCCTCTATGGAGACTCCAAATACAGGAGAGAATACCGAAGGATGCAGGACCACCAGAAGGGAGACATGGGGATCCCTCAGCTGCAGAAGCTAACTGCAGAAAGAGAAGTCATCACTATACCTCCTTGAATCAGTTGTCCTTCACTAAATACATACATTCTGCAAGGATTGTGGGAACCAGTTCAGTCTGGTGGTCAAAGCATTGGACTAGAAGCAGGAGACCTGAGTTCTAGTACTGCCTTAAGCATGCTAGCCAGGCGTGTGAGTTTGAGCCAGCCACTTTCTCTCAGCTCTAGGAAGAAGGCAAGGGCAAACCGCTTCCTAAAAATGTTGCCTAGAAACTTGCATGGACTTGACCTTGTAGTTGCCAGGAAACAAGGCTGATTCAAAGGCCAAAAAAATAAAAATAAAAAAAATTGGAGTCATCAACAGAACATTGGCACAACTATAAAGAATCCTACAATTAGATGAACACATGATACTTTGGTCACATGTTCTAAAGTAAACTACAATGATAAAGTTAACTACTAAAACATGCTTAACTCAATTTAGTCTTTCATCCCTCCACGTTGAAGAAGGCAACAGTAACCCATTCCATATTGTTGCCAAGAAAACTTGATGAGTCCATGAAGTCACCAGGAGTTTATATGATGGACTTCACTTTTTTGGCTAAACAGAGAGAGGGAGAGAAAGGGAAAAAAGTCTTCCCAAGTATAGAAGAGAGCCTGGCATAATTGGCACCGTGCCCAAGACTTAGACAGCTTCCAAAGGCCTATTTAAAAATTTTAAGTGTTTAAAATTTACGTTATAAAGGTCTCCATATTATGGGACCTATATATGTATAAGGTGCAAATAATTAACTGTAGAACTCTCTTGGAGCCAACAATGATGAGACAACCTAATTGTAATCCAACGTTGGCAGAGAAACAGACAAACCAACGTTGCTGAGCCAAAAATGTTGCTTCTGTTGCTCTTCCTCCCTTCAGTTCCTCTTGAGGGAATGAGAACTGGAATGAATGCTGATAGGTGACATCTGATAGAAGCTGTGCTGTCTCCTAACCTGAGTGAATTCTGCTTCCTGTATCTCTTTAGACCAGTGTTTCTCAACCTTGGCAACTTTAAGATGTGTGGACTTCAACTCTCAGGATTCCCATGCTGGCTTTAAGATGTCCACACATCTTAAAGTTGCCAAGGTTGAGAAACACTGCTTTAGACTGCTGACTCCTTCACTTAGTGAAAAAAAAAATCTAAAGTCTAAGAAATATGTATGCATTCTTCCTGGAAGCCACTGTAGGCCCTACAACTCATTTGTCCAGCTTGATCTACTGATAGGAGGTCAACATGTTAGAAAACATCTCCCAGTTGCTCAAACTCTCTTGTAGTTAGTCCCCAGACAAACATCTCTGTATTCTTTTGCAGTGGAGCTAAGTTTTGTTCTGTGTTTTCAGGGCCAGAAAGGGGATCCTGGACTATCACCTGGAAAAGCATGGAATGGTCAGAAGGTAAACTGGCCCTCAGTCTTGTATTAAGCATGGCTACAGTGTGGGACAAGTGCCCTAAGTTATGAGGATTTTGCATGCCTCCCCCCCAGTTCTCAATGAACTAGGAAAAATCAGAAATATTTATGATAGTTAACTTGATTTATATGCTGTCGGACTGTTCCAAACTATCCAGTCCTCAGTGGAAATGGAATAAAATTCTGCTTCTCTTCTGACCTTCTGAATGTGCCAGAAACTCAGAAGAGAGGAGAAGGTCCTTGGCAATGGTAGACAAACAACAGATTAGCTAACATTTATAGAGCCATGCTTAAACAGTCTCCAGGGATTAGTGTGGGGTGGGAATGCTCCTGGAAATTATCTGACATTAGTTTATGATATTTTTAATCCTCCCAATAGCAGAAGTTTTATGTTGTTACCTTGTACAAAAATATCAAAAGAAGAAAGCCAGTCTGTATATTGTACAAGGAAAATCAGTGCACACAAATGCCTAGAAACCATCTTCCTGATGTAATATGGGTAGCAAACATGTCAAAATTGAATGGCTAAAAGGAGAAGCTCAGTTGGCTTTGCAATCACAATCCCTCACTCTCTTCCTTATTATCACGGTGTCTCTGAGATGATCTTTGCAGTCGTGAAGATTAGACACATGAAGTTCATTCATCCTAAAGTTTCTGGTGGCCAGACCAAATAAAAACCAGTCGTTCTTCTGGTTACAGGGCAATGAGGGCTTACCTGGGTTGACAGGACTTCCTGGATCACCTGGTAGGAAGGTAAGAACTTTTTGTTCTGGGTTGGATCCTGCTGGGCAGTTCTCCTGAGATAGACTGGAGATGGGACCAAGTGATGTTTTTGCCCTTGAACCCAGGAACTGCCAGAGAAAAGCAGCAATTCTTTAGCCTTGAACTCTAGGGCTTCATCTTTCTCAAGAACAATTTCAGTAGATGCTCCAGCTGTTTCATCATTACATTGCAGGAACACTGACTGGTTGGAAATATTATTCCACCTCTACAATGGAGCCTATGTTCTGTACCTTTGGCCCAACTTTACAGGATAGGCCCCAGAACAAGGGTGTAGATCCTGCAGTACCTACATAGAGATTGTTGAATGTCAACTTCCAACTGCTCCACTGGGTGGTGGGAGTTGTAGTTCAGTAGCATCAACAGGAGAACCAGTTGTCCACCCTGTTATAGAAGGTAAATCAGTAATTTTTGTAAAAGGTTCATAGGAAGGGTAGAGGTCACTGCACAGACTCCTAAATTGAGAGAGAGAGAGAGAGAGAGAGTGGAAATTTGGGAGTAGAAGGTTGTAACTTCTCTGCTGGCATTGCCTTACTGCAAACACCTTCAGTTTAGAAAAGCTTCTCTGTTTTCCTATATGTGTTTTGGAAGCCAGAGTGAGTAAAAGCCCAAAGTGATTGGAACTAATGTTCTTTGGAAGAAGGCTAGAAACGGGCCTCCTGTCTTGCAAAGCAATCTCAGAAGTGTTGCGTGGCAAGGCAGGAGCAGTGTTGGGTCACGTTTTGGCATAACTGGACCTCTGCCAAGGCCCACATCCCCCTAGCTCATGAGTTGGCAGTGCATGTATTTCCTGCTGCTGCTGCTGCTGCTGCTGCGACACAAGTCCATTTTTCCTCCAGCTCTTTGAGTTTTATGAGACAATGGGAACAGAGAGAAGGAAAAGCCGCACACTCTGGGCCACAGTTCACACCAGGAGTCTGCCCTGTGACTTCTTCAGACATTCGTTCCAGCCAGGAATTTACCCACAGTGCTTTTTGCCCCTTGAGAAGGGTATATGAAACAGCTGACCCAACCATGCAAAGATGTCTTTACAACGGACAGCAATTTCAGCAGCTGCTTTTGCAGCCCTTTCTGGGGGCGGTTGGTCGGTCTGTCCTTTCAATAGTCATCCTTCAACATGGTGCTAATCCTCCCACCTCTGGAGAAGGTTCTCCAATGAAGTTGCACGTGGGCTGTTGGGTGTGAATCACCTAAAAATGGATCAAAGTTGCCATTGGATCTGGTATGCAGAATTGTCCCTGCTGATGTAGCCCAGAATAGTTCAGTTATGGGTCTGGCCCTGAAGAACCCAGCGGTGTCTATTACAAAGTTGCTATGTAGGAATCTACAATAGGTTTTTCCCTGGTTTGAGGCGCCTGACTCTTTTTGTATTGTCAGAACTGTAAAGTACTTTTTTGGACCTTGATCAACTCCTGGAAAGTTTTCAGCTCACCATTAAACAAGGCTGTGTTTGCGGTCTTTTGTCCTTGGCGGGTGTACAGAGCTGTTCGCCTTGGTCATCATTTCCTCCCTTCTTTTCTCTCTGGTCTGTCACTCTGGACATCAGCTGGAGGTTAAGCCTGCCACCTGAGATGGAGATTAGTTCTGTAAAGTGTCCTCCTCTTCCAAGAGAAGGCTCATTTGTGATTCACAGCCCTGAATTCTCTGGAAGCTTGTGAAAGACAGTGAACCCAGATGGTTGTGTTTTTCCTGTCTCTTGCCATTTCTAGCTCTGCTTGAAGAGACTCCCCCATGGAGACCCTTGGGAATGTCTATCAGCATTGCTTGAAACCTGGTTTGCCCTCCCCCCTTCATCACAGTCTCATCTTTCTTTGGCAACACACGGCTGCCGTTGCTTGTTAATTAAAAAAAAAAAAAGCATGGTTAAATCAAGCAGCCGAGGGGACAGTCAAGTGTGCCTAAAGTTTTTCAGGACCGTCTGAACAATTTGTGGGACAGGTATGTGGATGGACAAGAGGTGGGTGGTTTGGTTGGGGGAGCAAAATTCTGCAATTTCAACAAACCAAGTTGGCATTGACTTTAGGGTCAACTTAGGGAATCTTCTGCTAAGGTGGAATTGGGCTCTGGAAATGTGGGGGCGAGGTTAGCAAAATCTACATTGCTTCAACCAGATGTGCTGTGTTTCTATCCTTAGCAATGTACGAAGCCACATGCCGAATTAGACAACTGGCCTATCCAATCCAATGGCAGAATGACCTATTCTGACTGACAGCTGGCCCATCTTCCATGCATAAAGAAAGAATCTGGCACATAACAAGGGCTCCGCTTCTGTTCATACATTTCCTATGCTGCTTACGAGGACAAAGCCATATGCTGCGTAACCGTGGAAGGAATCACCAACATATTTGATGGCAATTTTTTAGTAGAGCAAAGCTGGCAGAAAAACATAGTTTGGTACATGGCAGCTCCATGACTTTTCCCTAAATAATATTTATTTGTTTATTCTTTTGAACAGGGACAGAAAGGATATCTGGGTCCAACTGGCCATCCTGGAGACCCGGTGAGTGTGTATCCTGGTTTTCAGATTTTCATAAATCTAGGATGGGATGCCCAGCTCACAGCTGGCTCAGAAGTGAACTGTCTTCTGCTCTCTGAGTCAGAATTGGGGAGTAGCTCAGCAATTCTTGAGGTGGCCCAAATTTCCTACTGAACTACGCAGATGCACCTCTGTTGAGTTGATACAAGAAGGTCATTGCAAGTGTAATACTATGTGTACTAGCCTAGATGAAAGTCCCTTGAAGTTCATTGGGATGTAATTTTGAGAAGAGATGCTGATGAAAAGGCAGCTCTCACAACAGAGGCAATCATAGTTTGGAAGAACTGAGCTTCCAGGACAAGAGGATAATTTCAATGATCTGAGCAAAGGAAGGGAAGAAATCAGGGAGATCTGTGAGAAGCATGGGATAGGTATTGCCTGGACCATGGGAAAAAAGGCAGGAAAGATAACCAGGATGGAAATCAAGGAAACTCGGATGATGCTGAGCCTTGAGAAGAGACTGAAGGCAGATCCCTGAAAAGATATCACACAGAAGAATGCCATGATCTGTTCTTTCTCATCCCAGAGGGCAGGATCCAGAATATTAGATTTTAAGTTGCAGGAAGGCAAACTCCAGTTGGGATAAGTTTCTTAATGGTAAGAGCTGTTCAGTAGTAGAACGCATGACTTTGGGGAACGTGGGATTCTCTGGATTTGTTCAAGTTGTCAGGGAGGATTCAATTTGAAGGAAAAAGCAGGAAATTGGGCTCAGTAGTCCAAATGTCCTCTTTTAGCTGGACCTTTCCCATGGTTCTGTTTCTCTGCACGCTCCCAATGTTTTCAGCTTCAGCTGCTTGGTCCCTTCATCTTAAGAGGAGGCCTGGCCTTGGCTGAAAAGCCATGGGGGTAAATGGCCCCTTTCAAGCCTATGTAATTCCATGCTTCTAAGATTGGTGGCTAACTTCTCAAGAACTTGCTCTCCATTTCTCAAAAAAGTTAAACTTGTGCATAAAATCCCCTTTTGGGGAACTAGCAAGAACTTGGGAAGCCACTCAGCTAGGCTGTTGAAAATGAAGGTGGGTGGGATCCCTTGGGCTGTTGTGTTCAGACAGAGGCCAGTCAGCCATCTGTCAGGGAGGTTTTAACTGTAATTCTTGCATCGAGCAGGAAGTTCCATGGCTTCAGTCCAGTTCTAGGATTCTGTGCCTTCCAAACACACTTCCTTCCAAGAATTGAAGGACTTCTTCTGCCCCATGAAGCAAAGTCCAGGGAAGATCAAAAGAATCTCTCCCTTTTCCTTTGGGCAACGAAGAGGTTGCAAATGTTGGTCTCTTGGGGCACCCAGAGCCACCCACTCAGCTGAGTGGACTGGAGATTGTTTTATGTAGAGAAACTGCCCTGCAACAGATCTAAAGCTCTGGTTGAATTCTCTGAATCAGTGCAACTCTTTTGAATCATTCTTTGGCTTCAGTGTCATAGGGCTGTTGCCTCAAAAAGTGGGAAGACCAAAGGTAGCTTCTCACTGCTTTTAAAAAAAAATGACATAGCATTGGGAGGAGAGCCTTAGGTTTATCTTAGCTTCTTCTCTCTCCCTTAAATTTTCGGCTGGAAACGTTCAGCTGTCGTGGCTGAAACGACGAGGCTGTAATTTAATTTTCTCTGATGCTTGCCTCTCCCTTTTTGTTTGGATAAGTGTGATGTTTATAGGATTTTTCTTTTTTTTAAAGATGCTTAATAAACGATAGAGTTTATGGGGGGTTGTAGCTGAATTTGCTCAAAATGAACATTGCGGAGCACAAAGGCTGAGAATAAAACGCCCTTGCTGGATATAATTTCCTCCTTCTCTTCTAAGCAATGTGTCATTTTCCAAGCATAGCCCTTTCATAGGGCCAGCAGGATAGTCCCATGATCCCTTTGTCGCTACACAAGGTAATTCACAAAATGTGTCAGGTGAGTCTGGCATAGCCCCAAATGTCCTACTTTCGCAAATAAATGGGGGACTAGTAGAAGATCGCAATTTACCTAAATCGCCCCCAACTCAACCCCACCAGATAAAGACTCAACATTCCCTGTTTGTTGAACGGTTTGCACCAAACGGAAAACAGAGGGGTGGGGAGAAATAGCACGCTTTGTAAAAGGGCGTGGTGAGCTGGCTGGCATGCCTCTTTATGGCAAAGCTCCCACCTTCCATTCTAATGCTTCAGCATCACCCTTCCTTCCCTTCTGGCCTTCTCTCTGATTCGGTACACACACACCCTTTGTACGGAAAGCAAGGCCATCAATGGAAGCTGCGTTGTAGCAAAGCTCTGGGTTCAAATCGCGAGGAGTCTCGCTGTCAAATTCAGTGGGGGGAGAAGGGGGCCCGCAGTGGGAAACACAGGAGGCTCTGCTCTCTTAATGGGGTGGATGGAAAAACTGCCCGCTCTCAGTTGAAGTCTCAGGTCTTCACCAGCACGTCAGCCGTCCTGCCAAGACAGTTGGATTTATGAACTGGGCTTAATTCTTCCCATTCTCCCTCCTCCCCCCCCCCTTCTTTTGTCTTTTCATTTTGGACAGGGTGAACGAGGAGCCGACGGGAATCCAGGAGCCAAAGGTTATCCTGGCAGGCAGGTGCAGTAAATCTTTCGTTGTGCTGAACGCAGCACAGGGTGGGGGGAAAGGATGGTAGGTGACTTGGATCCTATCAGGAGGGGTTTGCAGGTGGAGCAGTTGCCCCCTCCTTTCTTCTCTGCATGGGGAAAGCTAGCATGTCAGGGAGATGGCCTTCCAACCCTGAGCATCTTCTTAAGATGCTGTTCTTCTGGGAACAGGCTGATAGGCATTTGATCAGGTGAGTTCCTGTCTCGCGCCAAATTCCTGAATCTTGGGCGTATGGCATCATCTTTCTGTCTTTTACAAGCTTTTAAATGTCTTTGGGACTTTGGTTAGTGCATTGTGGGCAAACGTGTCAATGTGAGAAGAAGGAACCATTTCTAGCAACTTCTCTCGAGTCAGGGCAGAGCCCGTTCGATGCATTTTTCTCAGCCTGAATGGAAAAAAGTTTGCGTGTGTGTGTCTGTCTATGAGTAAGCCTCCTTTCACGTGTGGGAGAGACAATGTCAAGTCAAGATTTGGTAAAAGACAGGCAGCTGTGGAAATCTGCCACAGATTTTTCTAAAAAAAAGGAAGGATCATTTCACAGCGGCCAAAACACTGAACGGATTCTTCTCGCCTGGAAAAGGAGGATGGTGAAATCCTGCCTTAGATTTAAAAGAAAGAACCAAGATTTTTTTTAAAATTTGTCATTCCCCTAAAGTTTTCACCCTTGTGGATTCTGCCAGAGGGAGATCCTTCAGGATCAACAGGCTGGGGAAGGTAAATCTATTCTCTGCCTGGCTGGGGAGTGCCCATCTCAGCTGCAGTGGGAATATACTCCAGTGCACCAGTTTGTCCATTGTGACATCCTCGCAGGGCGTTTCTCTTTGCCTTTTCTTTGACTTGGGGGTGGAATTGCCACTTGCCCAGGTGAGATGGGGCCTGGGATGAATTTATCTATTTCTTGGTTCTTTGCTTTTCCCCGCTGCTCAGGGCAAACCGTTACACCTTTCTCTAAAAACCAGACCCAGTGTGCAACGAAACGTGGTGAGCTCTCATTTATGAAAAACGCACGGGGGAAAAAATAGACAGTCTTTCTAGATCCGTCACTGTCTCTCCAGCAGAGGCTAGCCAGATGCTTCTGACATTCGCTCAGCCAGGGCTCGCGAGCAGAGAATCAGGTTGGACGTAAACCTTTGCAGCTCTTCCAAGTTGGGAGGAGAGCCAACTGGAAGCCCTGCGGGTGGACCCAACGCGGTAGTGTAGAAACGATGTCAGCATGGCAGCTCCATACCCAATAGCCCTACCCCCTGAGAAAGCGAGGCTTAGCTTGTGCCTTCCGGTTCTGGATCCAGGGGCTTCCATCCTCTGCCAAACAGGGAATGTCTCATCCAGCTTCCAGTTCAGCTCCCAATCAAGGCGACTGATAAATGTGTCAGGTGTTGGCCGGAGGTTTAATGGTGTGTCTGTCTGTGCAAGGAAGACAGCTGATGATTTCTAACCTGTTTGATCCGGGCAGTGGGGCTGCCCTTTTGGACTTCCCTACGCCTTCTCCTCCGGTCACAGGGCAGCTGTTTTGGACCGCAGTTGGAACCAACGCCTGGGTCTCTTTGAAAACACAAACAGATTTTTTGCAGCGTCATCTCCCTCCAACAATTAGCTGATTTGTATAAGGATGCCTATTTTCATTATTATTTCTCTCCCCCACCCCCTTTTTTTTTTTGAAATTCCTTTCTAGCTCTTCCTTGGCCTGCCTCCCAACTCACAGCAGTGTGCCCCCTTTCCCTGGGCCTTGCTCCTCTTTGCAAAGATGTCCCAAGTCTGACCATCTCCAAATTAATCTGCCTTTTCTCTGTTTCTCTCTTCCCTCTTGTGTTTTAGGGATTACCTGGACCTATAGGGGAACCTGGACCAAAAGGGAGCCGGGTAAGTCAGTGAGAATGTCTTTCCTTTGCCAGTTTGGGGCCAGCTTCTGCGTTTTGAGTTTGGAGCTGCAAGCCCTTGAGAACAGCTGCTCTGTGCGCTTCCTGTCTTTTAATGGCAATGCGGTGGAAGAGATCAGACCGGGGGGAAGAAAAGGGGAGGAGAGGGGCTTAGCTCGTTCTCTGTCCCCCGGTAAGCTCACCTCTTTCTCCAGACATCAGTCTGACTTTGGACAAACCAACTTGGGTCTCAGGGCTAGGATAAGCACAGAACATGTGGACTTCCCTGCTCGGTTTGTCCCCAAACGTCCCCAAACTGCTTGTTTTTACAAAAAATCAGCCTTTTTGGTGCGTATGCTTTTTTTAAAAAAAAAAAATCCATCAGGGGTATGAGAAGCTGCATTTTGATCTTAACCCAAGGAGCAAGTCCCCATCCCATGTGGAAGCAGAGAGGAACGCAATGCGGAGAGCAAAGCTGCAGAAGTAACACTCGCCCTGGATTTCTCTGTTTATGTTTCCAGCCTTTTGACCCTTCTCATTTTTTTTTAACCCTTCCAACAGCTCTCCTGACTATCTTTTGCATTCCTACAACCCTCTTGCCAAGTAGGGGAAGCTGAGCAAGAGTGACAGGCGGGTCAGTAGCACTAAGGATAGTCCACGCTCTGACGGTTGCTCCATCTGAAGGTGCCAAAGGAGGTTTTGTTCCACCCCCTTTTGCAATGCTTAAAATTGCTCCTCGGGCCTGGAATGAAGTACAGTTGGAACGGCTCTGCAAGTTGCTGTCAGGAGCCATTTACAAGTTCTGGGGAGATCCGTACAATCTTCATCTCAACAGAAACACTCTCCTCCTGAATTTGCCGGGCTGGTCTGTTTGTGGGCCAGGCATTGCTGAGTGCTGGGAAATATCAGGAATTGCTTTTGCAACTGAGCTCTTTCTCATTCTTCCCTTTGGGGCTTGGCCTGGAGTCTTCTCTGCACCAGGCAGGCCAAAGCGTGACGTCTTGGATTCTGGAGTCGGCCAATTTTGTGCCCTGCCGTGGGTGCTGTGACTGCTGGGCAAGCCGCTGCTGAAATTTGTCCTCCACTTTCACAAATGTCTTCTTCCCCCTTTGCAAGAGACTTGTTCCCCCCCCCCCTTCCATACAATCATAGAGTTGGAAAGGACTTTTTTGATAGGCTACATTAACAGAATCTTGCAAGTCTGAAAGTACAGATCTCCCACTGTCCCTATTTACTTCCTAAGCTTCTTCCTCTGTCTGTTACTCAGCTGGGGGCTCCTTCCCCTTTTATCAGATCGTTCCCTAGGCAGCATCTCTTCCCCTGTCTTCCAAGGTCATTTTCACATTCCACTACATGTAGTCCAACTTCCTGCTCAGTCCAGAATCTGTTACTGCATCTTTGACAGATGACCATCCAACCTCTCTTGGAGGATTTCCAGGAAAGGAGAACTGACTACTTCATGCAGGTGGTGGTTGTGGTCGTCGTCGTCGTCGTCCTCCTCCTCCTCCTCCTCCTCATTTCTGGTTGTACCTCTTTCCATTGCTCTGCAATCTCCCTACTTCCACTTCTAAAAGAACCAAATGCCTTGGTCATCTCAAATCATAGGGAGGAATCAGAAGTGCCCCCCCCCCCGGTCCCCAAGTGGGATAAAAATCAGTGGCAGAATGAAGCAAAAAGTTACGGAAACTCAGATTAACAATTCTTCCCCATTGAGACAGTAGGAAGGACTCTACATAAGAGGTCTTCACTTTTTTTTTTTTAAAGAAGATACGTGAACTTCCTTTGGTGAGGATTTCTGGACACTTGGTGTAACAACTAAAATGGATTTAGTTAGTGAGTTTATTCATTTATTCATTTATGGATTTATTCTCTTCAGTTCAATGACAGTCTTCACAAATCGGATGTCTGACAGAAGTCTGTGTCGCAAGGTTTGATGGCTGTGACCTGCCTGACACGTGCAGCTGTGACCTGCCTGACACGTGCAGCTGTGACCTGCCTGACACGTGCAGCTGACACGCACCTTTGCTGGTGTGAAATGTCTTTCCGTTTGATTTACAACGAAGCAATTTCCCCCGCCATAGGTGAACATTCAAATATATGTTCTCCTTTTCCTACCTGCCTTGTCCTGAACTGTACAGGCATTCAACCCATTCTTACATGGCTCAGAATTGGAGGTACCTAAATATCTAAAAATCGGGTGTACCAGGATTAACACATCGGACAGCCACTAAGTAGCTGTGCCCAGTTTTGGGGATGGGTATAAATCACAGTGACAGTTGCCACTCTGTTTACATACCGAGGACCACCTTGCCATGAAAAAGCTGCAACGCTTGGAGATTTCGCTCAGATTTCCTTCACCAGCCTGGGTGCTGAAACTTCCTCCCTCCCGAGATTCCTTCTTCTTCGTTCCCTCCTTCTCTCTCTATTTTCTTCCTCTTTTTTTTGCCCAAAGAAGTCAAACTGCTGCATCATTACCTCGTCCTGCTCCTCTTCCTTCTCTCCATCTTCAGTCATAAATCACGGCAATGCTCCAGGCCAGTAAATCCGCCTCCTCTCTCTGGTCATGTGCTCTATTCCTTTATTGCCAGGAAACTTGTGAGTAATAAACAAAAAAAGTTAACCTGGCATCAGTTTTCATTTAGTGCATGGAAAAAAGGGGGTGGGGGTGGGGGGGCAGGTACAAGTGGGTCAGCTTGGCAATATTTTGCAGCAACGAGCTGAAGCTGTGACAGATACTGTCCCCTCTTGGTAGCCCTTTGGGAAACCCTAAGTCTCAAAGAGTTGCATTTCCATTCCATAGGGAATGGAAGAAATGGTTATTACTTTAAGAAAGTCACCAGGTTCCTTACAGCATATTCTCAGAGGGGAAGGGGCAAAACCTGTCATTGTTCAATATTGGTAGAAAGTGAATTTTGCACACTTTTTTTTTTTTTTAATGTTCTTGCTTCTTCTAACTTTGGGGGTGAGGGTAAAGAAGATTGGAGGTGAATAAGAGGGTGGTATGGGGAATGGTGACATTTGCAGAAGTACCCCACTCCTTCAATATATTAAAATATATATAAAGCCAGGAGGATCTGTTTGCACAACATGGGTAACCAGGTCTGTTAAAGACTTAGGGGCTGCATTCATACTACCTGCTAACTTGATTAGTATTAATTATTAATTATTAGTATTCATTATTATGCTTTGTATGAAGTGCTAACCCAGCCTTAGTTTACAGTTCCACATATGGAATAAATCTAGAACATGGATTAATTCAGTACTGGGTTAAATGTGGTTATCAGAATGCAGCCAGGAATGTCCGATGAGAGTTGATAAGGAAATGTGGAAGTGATGGAAACAAGAAGAGGCTAATTGGCTGCTATTATTATTATTATTATTATTATTATTATTATTATTATTCAAATTAGTTACATTGATTTCAAACCCTTCTCCTGCCAACATCAAATAGCACTCGGCAACAAAGGAAACTGCATTGGAGGAACAAACACTCACTCACTCACACACTCATAGATGCTTAACCTGTAGAGCCAAGCCAGACTGATTGATTGATCAGAGACTGATTCTAGACTCTCAAGCTAGAGTCCTTCTTGGTTCCTTGGATCTTCCATAGCTGCTGAGGTTATGATGCCAATGCTATTACTGGTAGGAAAGGTTGTTTTTTTTTTAAACCTGGACCAAGCTCCACGATGTTCCTGCTGCCCCCCGAGCCAGGTGAGGACCCCATCTGTCTGTCTGTCTGTCTGTCTGCTGGTGCCTCCTCCGTGCAAAGCACATGATCCCTGGTGTGAGGGTATGTGCCCTTGGACTACATCGTGGAAAATATCACCATGCAGTCCATGGGCATATACACTTGCCCCAAGGTTTCTTTCGTCACGGTCGCCTAGACCCAGCGCTGGACGATGACCTGCTCTGACCTCCCCTTCCGCGGAGACAAAATGCTCTTTGTTTTTCTTTCCCTGCTTCCCACAGGGGTACATTGGCCCACCAGGATTGCTGGGGATGCCAGGGGCTGATGGGGAAAGGGTGAGTATTGGCAAGTCTTGCTTTATTGTTGTGGGATTGTGGAGCTGGGCATTGCAAAGAGCAGCGTGGCTTGGCTGTGAAACTCACTTCTCCTTCCCCATCTTTGCATTCTTCTGGTCTTGCTGTAGAGGTGGGCAACCCAACTCTATGTACATCTTCATTCATTGGATCAGCGCCTTGCATTTCACTCAGAGGCTCAAACTAGAGAAAGCTGTGCTCCCTCTTCTAATCTTAGCCCCACAAAACAACCCTGAGAGGTATAGGCTGGGGGGAGAGAGAAAGCAATGGGCCTCAAGCCATCTTGTGAGCTTCCAGGGCAGAATATGACTCTCTGGTTTTGGTGCAGCATGGCCTTACCTTTATATCATGCTGGTGTTTATTGTGGTTGACACCTGAACTACCTGTGGTCTCTTGAATGTGATCCATTGAGGACTGCCAGTGGTGGGTGGGGATGAAGCAAGCTGTGGGTGGGGTCCTAAGTGTCCAACTTCCTTCCTTCCTTCCTTCCTTCCTTCCTTCCTTCCTTCCTTCCTTCCTTCCTTCCTTCCTTCCTTCCTTCCTTCCTTCCTTCCTTCCTTCCCTCCCTTTTCTCTCTCTTCTTCTTCCTCCTCCTCCTCCTCCTCCTCCTCCTCCAGCTGTGTTGCCAGCTGGAAACACAGATCTTAACATGTTCATTTTCAGGGAGCTTTTGAACTTGAGACTGAGAACAGCCTATGCCTGTAGGATTGCAACTGGCCGACCCCTCCTGTTTTCCCCCTTATAAAGCCAGTGTGGAAGAATAAATGATTTCGCCTCATTTCTGTTGGCTTTCCATATTTTCTAATCTGTTAACAATGAGGTCAGGGCTAAACCATCAGCAGCCAGAGGGTCAAACTGGAGCCAGAAAAATCTACCATTAGCCAACTAGAACAGGAAACTGATTGAGTTCTTCCTGTACATTTGGGAGCTTTGATAAAGAGAGTGCCACTTAGGTTAGAGCTAAATCTGTGTTTATACTTCCTTCCTTCCCCTAAGAGATTTCAGAGCAGGGTACACATCCCAGGCCCTTGTGTGTCTGAAAAAGTTCCTGCCCCTTTCCCACCCCCCAGACACTCCCTTGGGACAGGAGAACTAGCCCCAGGCTCATCATTATCCAGGATACTTCATGGCCAAGCAAGATTGGACTTTGGATCTCTGTAGGCTTCACTAGAGAGCTCTCTCCATGGCCTCAACTCCACACTGCTAAGCCAACTCCTCTACTCTGTGCTGTTGGCAGGTCCTAGACCTCTTGCAAGAAGACACAGCCTGCGATTGTCTGTGTATATATTACAAGAGGAATGTGCTAATGCTCGGGAGATGCTAATTTAAGGCTTGTGTGTAACCAAATCAGAAATATAAACAGAGGTTCTCCAGCGAGCCCTGTTGGCTTCAGTCTCCCCTTGGTTCCAGATCAGTAGCTTAATTATTCCTCCAGCTAAGCGCTGTCTCCAATTCCTGGATTTGGTTGGGGTCAAGCCTTGAGGGTGTGTGTGTGTGGCTCTTCCTGAGGCTCAAGAAGGAAAAGATTTAAGGGCTGAACCGAACTCTTTCCCATTTTCCCTTGTTCTCACATGCTGACATTCTGGCCCACCACCCTCCTGAGTTATTCCACATTTTAATTTCCCCTTTCTGTTTAGTTTCAGATTTCTCCTTTTTGGCTGTCCAACCTTTCTCCCGTTTTTAATTTTTTTCTCTTTTTTCTCTTTGTTTTGTAGGGAATCCCCGGAGTTCCTGGGAAGAAGGGCAAGATGGGTAGGCCGGTAAAGTTTTTCCTTGTCTATTACGCAGACTTTGTTCAAAATTAAACAGGAGAGGGGTGGTGGTGGTGGTGGTGGTGGGGTCACTGGAAGTGGGATCTTGAGAACTTGATTGTGCCTCTCTCTTATGATTGATGGTTGATGTGCCATCAGGTTATTGTTGACTCTTAGTGACCACACAGATATGTTTTCTCCAGGATGATCTGACCCTAACCTGGTCCTTCAGGTCTTCCAATGGTGCACTCATCCCCACTGTAACTGAGTCTGTCCACCTTGACGGTGGTCATCCATTTCTCTTTCCTTCCACCTTACCCACCATCAGAGCCTTCTCCAGAGAGCTAGGTCTTTGCTTAACATTTCTGAAGTAGGATAATTTGAGCCTGGTCATTGATGCCTGAAATGAAAACTCTGGGTGGAGTTGTTCAATGACCCATCGGTTTGTTTTTGTGGACGTCTGTGGCATTCTCAGGAGTCTTCTCCAACACCAAAGTTCAAAAGCATCTGTAGTCTTCCTATCTTGCTTCTTCACAGTCTAACTTGTACCTCTCTCTAGTGTATCCGATATATGATACCATTACCCCATCTAGTGGGACTTGGGGCTTGCTCCCCAAATATTAAACACAGCAAGCGCTTGGTTTAACAGATGAATTGGGGGAAGGACCGTCCGTTAGACCTGAATGTGCATTAAACAGAAAATAGGATTTTATGCAGGTGAATGCAACGTTAGCATAAAATGGCGAATGGATTTTGTCCACCGTGGCTGAAATCCACTCAACTCAGCTCCTGGTGTACGAGACAGTACAACCCTGTGCAATGCTGGGTGTTTTATTGTTATTTTTTTTTTAATCTTTCCCACAATGAGTGAGCACTGCCAACACACTTCATGTTTTATCAGTTGAAAAGTTCTTGAGGTTGGAGGCAGGAATCTGGTTACAACTCCCAGAGTTGGTAATTACTGGTTACATCACAGACTTTGAGTTCATAACTGTTAAAAGAGAGAGAGAGAGAGAGAGAGAGAAAAGGAGGTTTGTGATCCAAAAATGAGCTAAACAAAGCAACGGTTGTTAAGTATAGAGGTCTGGTTAGGGATTTTGATGCAACTTTACATATATTGTACCAGAGCTCCCAATGTTTTCCAGCTGTTTCAGTCTTACAATCTTCCATTCCAAAACCTCTATTTTCCCCCTCTTTTTATTATAGCACTGACTTTGATTTTTTTTTTTTTAATGGAATCACCCCCCTTCCAAAAGAGAAGGGTGAGATTCCCTTTTGCAAATATTCCTCGCTCAAGCTGGGATTTTCTGTACAAACCAACCAAACCCAAACCTTCCATTTCTAAATCATTTATGTTACAGTGTAAAAAAAACCAAAAAAAAAAACAGACCCAAAACCCTAACATGCAATTAAAGATAACCCATTACAAATATTTTAGAGGGATTTTGAGTAGGCTTAATCTTAGCGTGCATTTGCTAATGGGTATAATTACAGGAGAAAGCCTGTAGTGGAAAATGGGCTTGGAGGGGTGGGCGGAAGCCCACGTTCTCCCAGATTGGCCACAGCAGCCCGATTTACTCCAGACGGATTGGCCAGCGATTGTGCCATTCTGAGGGCTGGTTTTCCCTCTATGGAAGGTGTCAGTGGAATGAAAAGAAAAAAAGAAAAAAATTAGGGGAGAAATGGATGTTTAGTGTGGCAAGCTGGTGGTTGCCCCTGCAATGCTTTTACTTTAATTTTCAGTTTGCTACGGCGATGAGTCTCTTGGCCATTCGTAGCTCTGAAAAAGCGGGTTGCTTATATTACAACTGGGTGTCCTCGCATTAGGATTACGGTCATTAGAGGGGAGTTGAGGAGCCTTCCTTCATAAGTGGTTGGGCCTCCAGATTAAGCCCAGGCTTGCCTCTTTAAAGGAATTGAGAATCAGTTTGTAGGAGTCTTCCTCCTTGAGAAATCGTGAGAATTTTCCATCTGTTAGAGCAGAAAGTTCTGTGTTCTTCCAGCCCCCTTTCGTATTCCCCCAGAGCCTCCCCCACATTCCATTCTTTAGCAAAGAGGTGTGTTAAACTCTTGCACGTTTTAGGGCACTTTTGTGCCCCAGAGCTGAGAAACTTGGCTGACAATATGGCTTTGCTTGTTCTGGTGATATCAGCTAGATCCTCTGCACTCTTGGAGGCTAAATTGGGGGGGGGGGGAGCAAACTCTGTTTTTAAAAACATCAGTATTCTTATTGCTGTAGCAAATTTTAATAATATAGTTTAAGGGAGGAAAGGAAGGACAAAGATATATTAGCAATATGTGCAAGAAATGTGGAAGGAGGCAGGGGGTCCAAGTTTTAAGTAGTGGAAAATTCGGCTCTTGGGACTTGAAACTTTTTGACTCCCGTGATTTGGTCATGTCCTGTTGTGGCTCCCTTTTGGTTTCCAGTTACAACATCGGTTCGTATAGTCTTGAGGAAAAGAAGGTAGTAGTCAGAGTTAAATGCAGTGTTGAATTGTACTCCCAAAGATGGAATTGGACAGTTGATGAAGGACTTGTCAACCTTATCAAGCCTGGTTAATAATCCCAAGGGAGGGGTTTGGTAACCTGGATATCAGATCTACCTTGAGAAAAGCCCACAGGCACAGCTCCAACAGTGTTCTAGAGACTGACTTACCTGTATCTCTTGATCAGCGTTTGGTCCGTGTGCCAGATCTTTTGAAATGCTTCTGAGCAAGCCTGTCTCTAGAAAAGGAACAATGGGGGGCTCTCAAAGCAGATGTTTCTACATCCCGGCCGTCGATTGCTTGCAAAGCCTCCTTCCATGAAGCAGTGGATATATATATATATTTCATTTGCTCCGTTGTGTAGGCCTCCTGGAATGATGTAAGAATGTTAAAAAAAGGAGGGGATTAAAATAGATGCGCTGGATGTGAGTCAGACCTTGAAACCCTTCCAGATCAGCTCAGCAGGGGCGGGAAAGGAACATGATGAATCGGTGTTGGCAATGGCCTTTTGACAATTCCACTCCTCATCCATGCTGCTCTTTTTCAATGCATCCAAGGCGCAAAGCTGCACGGGGAAGTAGTGATTGGAAGGTAGTAGCAACTGGGGTAGTGTGTCAACAGGAAGGAGGTCTGTCTCACCCTTCTATAAGCTGTGGGAAATTCTGGGTAATGTTGACCCATTCCAGAGAGAGAATTAAGATGCTTAGGGTGTGAAATAAATCTTTTACAAAAGAGCACACTGTTGAGGGACCTGGGAGAGCCCCCCCCCCCCATGCACATAAGACATCGTTCAATCCTTGACCCAGTTGATTGAGCTCCACAGCTTTGTCACAGAACACGCTTGGTTGCATGCCACATTGAGCTGAAATCTCTCTGATTTCCCTCAAGGGTTTGTCTCCCAGCAAAACCAGCTTCTCCTTTTCTCCTTCATGCTCAACGTGCTTTAGAATATCTATCGATGGTGTCTATGAACAGACATCATTGCCACATGACGGTGGAATAATGCCATTGCTGTCACTTCTATTCTTCTTCTAAGTCTCTCCCTTACATTCCAACCTCCCTAGCAACCCAGATGTGCCTGTTTGAAAAAGCCACATGCGGGACAACCTTCCCTTGGGGTAGAAGAGAAAGGTGGGAAGCCACGGAGGCGGCCGATCAAGGCAGGGAGATTGTACAATAGAAAACAGGATATTTACATACTTTTCAGCCATCTCATAACCAAAGGGAAGATAAGAACTTCAGTTTTCATAAGAGTTCTATTTTTTTGGCGGGGGGGG